GTACGCCAGCAACATGCCAACTCCTAGTATATTTTCTTGCCAAGGAGAAATCTAAAGGTATACTCAGAGGGTTAATTGCCTAAGCTTGGGATAAGCTTGGTGTTTTTCATGTGTACTGTCCTTCCTCCATGTCTAACCACTGACTCTCAGTGTTTGCAAAGGCTCCTGTGAGTCAGAGCACACTCAGGTCTAACATCCATCAAAGCTCAAATGTTTTACGTATTAGGGGACCAATAAACCCAGGATTCAGCATACAGCCTCCAGTCACCCTGAATGGCCTCACTTGTAAAAATTCTTAGTCACCCCCTCAGAGCCCTAGGGTGGCTTTCACTCCAGAGATCTCTTTCCACAACAGAGAGTCTGGTGGGACCTGTCAGCCATGACCATGTCACTTTCTAAAGGTCCTTCATTTTGGTTAAACAACAACAATTCCTGAAACATAAAGGTTTTGGTTCCCAGTGACTTGTTCTCTTGATTTTTGGCACTCCCCAGTCTCTCGGTAATAAGCATCTGAGAGATGCTTATTAATCACCTGATGTTCTTTTACCCACCATGTGCCTTATTTCTTTCGTTACCCCTAGCAACAGACAACAGTGGGCCTAAAAGGAACATTTTCAATTCTCTTCTCCCTTTTCTGCACTATAGTTATCCCAGCCTGGAAGCAGATGTCGGCTTTCTGGAGTTAGAGATCTACCCTCCACAGGTCTGTTTCCAACAAAGCCTGTGCTATTGTAGAATCAGCCATCACCATGTGGCTCCTGGGGGCCAGACTCAGATCACCAGTCTTCATGGCAAGCACCTTTGCTTGCTTTACATCCTCCTGGGAATAGATGATTTTCTTAACATTTCTGGAACAGTTGGCTTTCATGCCCAGGTGAGTGACAGAGCCATTTAGATTAACTCTGAAGAGAGGTGACAATGGCTTTTACAACAAGGCCCCTGCTAGATAGTAATGTTATGCTCTTTGAAGCAGTACAGAGTGACACATCTCCGCCCAAGGCAGAAGAAGATATTCAAATCCTCTATTCTTTTGACCAAAACAACACAGGTAAGGTATAAAAGAATTAAATAAAAATAGGTAAATAAGTCTATAAAAATAGCCACTCTTGGGACTGGGGAGATAGTCTAGGGGTTAAAGTTCTTGTTATGCAAACATGAGGTTCTGAGCTCAAATTCCCAGAACACAAAAGGCTGAGCATGGTTGAACATAAACCCAGAGTTGGGGGGTGGGGTGGGAATGAAGACAGGAGGATCGTTAGGGCTTCCTGCCAGCCTAGCTCTAGGTTCAGTGAGAGACCCTGTCTCACAGGAATAAGGTAGTGCAGCACAGAACAGGATGTCCAATGTTGTCTTCCTCTGGCCTGTACATGTGCACAGGGCATACACACCTGCACACAAAGATGCTCAGATAACACACACACACACACACACACACACACCTTTTTATTTTAATTAGTTATTTATTTTATGTATATGAGTACACTGTTGTTGTCTTCAGGCACACCAGAAGAGGGTATCAGATCCCTTTACAGATGGTTGTGAGCCACCATGTGGTTGTTGGGAATTGAACTCGGGACCTCTGGAAAAGCAGTCAGTGCTCTTGACCACTGAGCCCTCTCTCCAACCCCTCCCCCACCACACACACAGCTTTTTTTAAGTTAAAAAAATAAAGATAGAGCTGAGAAGATAGTTTAGTGGATAATGCTTTTATTGCACAGGCATGAGGACCTGAGCTGTGACCCTCAATACGTGGAAGAACTCAGTGTGGCAGCACATGCCTGTAATCCCAGTCTTCTTCCTACGGCAAGATGGAAGGAGGAGACAGGAGAATCCCCAAAAGCTCACGGGCTAGCTAGCATCACATATGTAGCAACAAACAGCAAAGAAAGCCTGCCTCAAACAAGACTGACAAAGTGGTCCTTTGACCTCCACATGTATGCCATGGTACAAGAATGCATGTGTTCATACAAACATAAAGATAAGGGAAAAAAATTTTAAGGGGATCCCAACAATACAATGGGAACAGCTCCTGCAAACCTATCCTGTGACCACCCTGTATATAAACTCAAGTTGAGGAATCAGCAAGCAAAGAAAACCCAGCTGCCAGGGGGGCTTCAGCTTAGCTTGTCTTCACCGCTGAGTTAGTCAACTCCATTCGTTTCTCTATTTGCCTATCTAGACACAGGTCTGCCCGTTGCCTCTGGTGCCTCGACAGTTGTGGGTCTCACCTCACTTCCTTGGCTTCATTCCACACTGCAGCTCAGCTGAACTCTAACTTCGGGACCTGGCTCTGCCAGTGTCCCTAGCAGCAGCTCCCCAACAGGACTTGTTACCTCACCCCACCAGGGATTCTGATGCTCTGTCAGCTTCCTGCCTCTACCTCCACTATGGCCTCCCTGGATTCTGCAGCAATCTTCTTAGCCTTGTTGCAGCGATTCTGTAACCTACCTATGGCTAGACAATAGATGACTGAGAGATGATAGTTGACAGGGAGATGGCTACAGTTCCAGATATACCTACTGTGTGCCGTTTGAGGTATAATTGGAGCATTAACATTAGTGGTCGCAATAGGAATAAAAGAAGCTGTGCTTGCCTCAGTCACTAGCCGAGCCAATCAGGACCACTTGACAAATACCAGTCAAAGAAGTCAATGTAGCTTCTGAATTTGTTATTCAGTAAATTCTGGTATTGTAAAAAGACACAAATGTGTATATCTATTTCTGACATTGTGTAATTACAACAGATACCCACTTGTAGGGTCACTTGCTCCTGTTCTTGGCTAGTGCTGGACAGAGTTCCAGTTTCCCTGACAGGATCTTGATTTCTCTGTGCTCTCCAGAGCCTTCCTGCCTCCCAGGACAGAAAGCAGCCATTTATAGTGGTTTTACTGTTCCTTGCTGGGTTGTAAAAACCCTGGTGGTAGTGGTTGGTGGGGGGAGGGGGGAGGGGAGCAGGTGCTATCTCCAAGGCAGGAAATCCTGAGGAAGGAGACTCATTACCACTGCCCTTCCAAGGACCTTGTGGAAGGTTGTTTGTAGAGGCCAGTGATGCAGGGACAAGCCAGTAACACTAGCCAAGCACAATCCATTGCAACTGGGGAGATCTTACACTACCCAGTTCTCTGTATCCAGGTTCCCATGTGAACGGCCACTGTCAGGAATTCTCTTGAACACAGACACATCTCAGTTTTATATCACTGAAGACAGCGCCTCCTCAGGCTGACCCTAGACTGTGCAATCCAAATTCTCATGCCCATCAGACAAAGGGGGCATGTGTCCAGATGGCTTAGAACCTGTGTCCAGACACTGGAGCTCCTTAGCAAAAGACACTTCATTGTCTTCTTAGAGAAAAATTTGGACCATGTGAGCAAGCCCAGGCCGTGGTCTTAGCAGTTGAGTCCCACTGACAAGAGAAGTATATAATTCTCCAAAGGGGAGCCACTCCAAAACAGAATCTCTTCCACAAATGAAGGATGATGGGGGTAAGGACAAGCCCGAGTGTGCCTGAGAGCTGAAAGAGCAAGAATGGTGCCAACAGTCTACCCACATCCAGCTCAACCCACCTCATCAAAGGATAGGAAAGAGGCTTGTCACTGGGGACTGTGTGAAAGATGGCAGGAAGCACACAGACCACTAGCCTTCTGGGAAAAGCAAGCAAGGAGATGCCTACCTCCCTTTACCAAATGCTGGTAAGGCAGAAAGCCCATGCCGCTGATAGGAATGAGTGAGAAACGGCACAAGCTCTCTGGGAAGCAGCTTGTCTGATTCTCGAAAAAGGCAACATGCAGTTTGGGACCTAGCAACTGCATTCCTGGGCATGGTCCCAGGGAAATGAAACAGCACGAGGGAGGGAAGGGAGTGCTTCACAACAACCTTGTAAACACGTCCTTCAGTGGACAAAGGATCCCAAAGCTGTGATGCACACAGCGCAGAGGCAGCTGTTCAGGAGGCTGAATGAACCACCATTCAATACACAGCCACTCTTGTGACTCTAGCCATCGATGCCCGAATGATAAGCGGTGAGCTCCGCCAAGTCGCACATTGGACAATTACATTTATCTAGCATGTTGGCATTGAGTCTAAAAGGATGAGGTGGAGACGTCAGCTCAGTGGTTTGCTAGAGGTTTGATACCGGCTTCTGCAGCACAAGAGGCACTAACATTGTGTGCTTGTCATGCAAAATGGCGCCCCAGGGAGACTTAACCAAGCACACCACAGCTCTCGATCAGTTTCTCCTAACTGCATTCTCCAAGCTCCGTGGGCCACACCTATAATCAGGACTCGTCCCAGGAGGGAGATTGCTAGTTCTAAGCCAGCCTGACAAAATATAATAGTGGCGAATATATCCAGAAAGTCGAAACAGCACAAGAAGTGACTAGATTTAAATATCTGTAAAGACCCGTGTTAGGGGACAGAGCAGAGGAGGTCTGCGCCTGGCTTTGCCAGGGAGGGGGGCGGGGTCAGATGATTCCAGGGGGCCACAGGCCATGCACTACTGAGTCCGCCATCCCGGCGCACCACCGATGACAAGCCCGACGACTAAGAAATGACACCAAGCCTGCAGAAGGCTTGGAGTCCTGAGAAGCAGAGGCGCACGCTGGGAGAAAGGCGCCACCCGCAGCCCAGAAGCTTGTACAGGAAGAGACTCCTCCAAAGCATCCTCGCAAGCTAAGCTCAAGGCTGCAGCCGCAGCATTACCGAGAGCTAGGACAGTGTCTCCTAGAGCCGACCCCAAGGGGCGGGGAGAGGTAGGCGGGCCTACGGCCGCAGTACACGACCACAGAGAGGTCTGGTGACCGCTCCTAGAGCGGCGCCAGAAGGGCGTGAACAAGCGGGCGGGGCTACGCAACATGCGGTGATACCACCGAGAGTCGCGCGAGGGTCCTAGAGAGGCAGTGGAGACGGTTTAGCGCGGAGGGCGGGGCTTGGAGCGCTCGGCAGCACCACCGAGAGGCTGGGGAAGGTAGAGCGGCACCAGAGGGGCGGGCGCCTTTAGGCGCGGGAGTGGCGGGCTCAAGTGGGCATTGTTAACGGTCGCCCGCCCGCCGGTCAGCTTGCCTACAGCCACGTTCTGCCAGCGTCTGCGCTCGGCACCCATCAGGTACTTTCTGCGTGTGTGTGCTCGGTATCCCCGACCGGGCGAAGGCCGGCTTCTGAGTCGTTTCTCTGTGGACTACCTCGGCAGTGTTGCGGAGGTCCTGGAGGCGGGGAAGGTGGGCCGGGCTACCTAGCGATGCCGCTAGTTGCTAGATGCTTTGAGCTCCTTGTCCTGCCGGGTCTAGCAGCACCTTGATGGAACTGAGTCCTTAGGTCCGCTGAATTCTACTAAGTTGCCTGAATCACTCGCATCTACTCCTGTGCACAGGCCTGTGAAGGGAGGGAGCAATAAGATAGTCGCTGTGATCTTCTCTGGTTTTAATAACTATTTCAGTTTTCAATGAGGATGATCCTTGGTGAGCAAACACAGACACTTGGGTCCCGCTTGTCATTCCTCTCACTAGAGTGAGTGTTTGAATTGGTACTGAGTGATGCTCTAGACAGGGACTCTCAGGTATCTCCTGAGCTCTCCCACAATCGACAAACACTTTTAGATGCTGATAGTTGCCTGGATCTTGGACTCTGAATCCAGACAAGAATTTTATCTGCTGGGTTACATATGTGGGTATTTGTTTAATGCTTAAAAAAAATACAGTGTGTTCCCAACGTGACAGTTTTGTTTTTGGAAAAGTGTGGGAGCCCTAGATGGAACTGCCAGCATAGCTCACCCCTTTGGGCCTCCAGGGATAAAGGGGATGGTGCAGGGTTGGAGATAAAGAAGAATCACAGAGAGAGACTCATTAGTTACAAGGGGCAGCCTTTGGGGGTGTGATGGGGTTTGCTGGCTACTGTGGATGATGAGGACAGCGCTGAGTTTTCCAGGCTCAGAACCAGGCTGTGTGTGATAGAGTTACTTCCTGCTCCAGAGTATTTGCACAGTCCCAATGTGGGCAGGTAGAGAGGATAACGAAGAACAGGGAAAGTTCTATTTGGGGAGTTGGAACATGGCCATTGGTCCATGATAGATATGGCTTTCTCTGGGGTGAGTGAAAACCTTGTCTTCAGGTTAAGGAGTGTCAGTAGCTAAGTGAGAGAGACACTCAAAGAGATGAGCATGCTATGGACAACAGCCTCTGAGCTCAGCTTCTAGGCCTGGGACTAGAGTTCTGGGGAGTCTACTTTAGTCTGAGAAGCTCATCACATGAGCAGCTAGGAAGACAGTGGAGGGAGAGACTGCAGCACTAAGAGCTGCCTTTGACCTGTTGTTAATGCTTTTGCTTCTAGAAGCAAGAAGACCATGGTTCTGTCTTACTTGATGCAGCTTCATAAGCAGGATGTGGTGAGCTGTCCCTGACAGAGTGAAGTCCCAGAAGAGCAGCCAGGCAGCCACTGGCTGGGAACCCTTCCCTGGCCTCCAGGGGGTTTCCTGCTTCCTAAGAGCAGCAATGGAAAAGCCTACAACTAGGAAAAAGAAGAGCCAGGCTCCAAAGGAGGAGGCAGGTGCACAAAAGGCCACTGTCAAAGGAGAGAAAACATCAAAGGGGAAGAAGCCAACCAAGAAGCCAAGAAAGCCTCGAAAACCCCGAAAAGAGCGTGTCCTGAGTCCTGAAGACGAAGCACATATCTTTGATGCCTTCGATGCCTCATTTAAAGATGACTTTGAGGGTGTCCCTGTGTTTGTTCCTTTTCAGAGGAAGAAGCCCTATGAGTGTGGTGAATGTGGACGGATCTTTAAACACAAGACGGATCACATCCGCCACCAGAGAGTTCACACCGGAGAGAAGCCCTTTAAGTGTGACCAGTGTGGAAAGACCTTCAGGCACAGCTCAGATGTCACCAAACATCAAAGAATTCACACCGGCGAGAAGCCCTTTAAATGTGGGGAGTGTGGAAAAGCCTTCAACTGTGGCTCCAACCTTCTGAAACACCAGAAAACGCACACTGGAGAGAAGCCTTATGGCTGTGAGGAGTGTGGAAAATCCTTCGCCTACAGTTCGTGCCTCATCCGGCATCGGAAGCGTCATCCAAGGAAGAAGCACTGAGCAGGGCAATCTACAACTGTGGGTCCTTGACGGACACCTGATGATGGTCCAGAGTTGTTCTGCAGTGTGCCCATCTGGCCGCCAGTCTCTGTCATTGAAAGGAAAATCTACATCAGACCTGAGAGCCCACAGAGGCTTTCTGCCCTTCGAATCTACACCTTGTGGTATCACGGTGCTCCCTGGAGCTTCCTGAAGCTCTAGCTATTTTCCAGACTACTTTATGCTACTCAGGGCCATCTCTGGAACAGCTCTGGGTTGCTGAGAACTTTAGAGCTAAAGAGACACCCCTGTTGGCAAGGGCCACTGCCTTTGCTGCCTGTCTGCACCAACCATGTGCTTTTGTCTCTTCTTTTGAAGGCTTCTGGCTCTGCATGTCCAGCCCCATGTAGTCTGCTAGGGGCAAGGAACCCTGAGGTGGATGCCAGGTAGCATTCTGACCAACTCTGAGACTAGTCCCCTTGGACAGCACCAAGTCCTGCTCATCTCTGTGCAGCCAACTTCAGTGATCATTTCTCTTTTCTGGCTGAAACAACAGTCTTTGAGCTCAACCCCTGGGCCTGGAACTGGGCTGCACTGCATTCCCTTGTCCCAGCCACATCTTAGACAAGTAACCTGGAGCCATCCAAAGTCTCAGCACACCCTTGCACCCTGGCATAGTGGCAGATTTCCTAGACTAGGTCTTGTAGCTTCAGGGTGCCATCAGCAGCTTCTATCCACTGCACCTTGAAAAACAACTGTGGCCCCGCCCCATAGCATCTGTTCATTCAGGTCAATTCCACTTCTTGCTGCTTAGCAGGGCAAGACCACGTGACTGTGTCTACCACCTGCCCCGAGTGCTCTGTGAGGTCTGTGTTCTAAAGACAGCAAGTGACTGCTGACCAGGAGGGTAAGTTGGGGGAAAGTTGTCAGAGATTTAGACATAAGGTAACAAAAATGGCGTTAGTCTTTGGGGACTCTGCCATGAAGAAAGGGTCCTCAGCCAGAAGTAGAGAAGGGCTTGTCAACAGGTACAGAAACCATCAGAGAGGGCACTGCCCAGGTGATGCAGGTGGTTATGTTCCCTGGTAGGAATGTGTGACCAGGTATGGTAGTTAATCTGCATGGTCAACCTGACTGAATATAGAATTACCTAGGAGACACATAGGTGTGTTTGTGAAGTACCAGGGAGAGTTAGCTGAAGAGGGAAGACCTACCTAAATGTTGGCACTATCACACAGGCTTGGTTCCTAGACTACATTCAAAAGGAGAAAGCTGGGCCATTGAGACGGCTCAGCAGATAAAGGCATTTGCTTCTCACAGAAGCCTGACAATTTGAATTCAATCCGGGAACCCATGCAAAAAATGGCAACAGAGACCCAACTCTTCAGAATTGTCCACTAACCTACCCCTGACCCCATGCAGACAGCAGCACTAGAGACAGACACAGAGATTTCAAAAGAAAAACTTGAGCATTTATTTACCTGTCTGCTTCCCAATTATAGTAATGTCACACTCCCTACCATGGTGGTCTGTATCCCTTCAAACCAGGAGCCAAGGAAACCCTCAGGTTGCTTTTTCAGACAGTTTTCACAATGACAAATATATAATGAGGTTAGCCATCCTCTTTCTAGGAGCTGAAACAACACTGTGTGTCTCTGATGCCTCCTGTGGCACTGACCTGGCCAGGTTTGCTGATGCACCAGGCTGCTTGTACTGCCCCTCCCTATGGGGCAGAACCTTCCAGGTAGAGGTTTTCCCACACTGCACTCTCCTTATGCAAGCTTCCCCAGGAGTATTTTACCAGTCTTGATGCCCATGGGAGAGGAAGACTTAATCTAATATGAAAATCTGATAAAGTGAAATTGTGAGAAAATGGGTGTCAGCTGGTGTAGGAGCTGCGTGGCATACTTGGGCAGCATGGTCCTGGAGTAGAGGGGTTGCTCACACGCTCCGAGGACATTGGAAACCTGGAGTGCTACCAGGTGGCAAGGCAGCGTTCTGGTCCCAGCCTGTAGCCCTGTCCTTAAGGTTGTGTGCTAAGGTTTTAGGGTACAGAATCACAGTTCCCTCAGTATTAAGGGGACACCAAAGATCGTATGTGTTCATACACACAGAGAGGGCCACTCAGCAGGGTGGCCCAGTGTCATTCCACATGAATTTTGTTCTTGTCTTTGCAGCCACACAGCCACTCACCTGTGTATATACTGCACAGCCCTTAAAGAGGGCACAGAATGAGTGGGTGTGGCCATGCACTAACCAAACATGGCAGAAAGAGGTACTGCCATGACTTGTTTACCAACCCATTTGTTTTATTGTTTATTCTGTTGAGATGGCGTCTCACTCTAACCCAGGTTGTCTTGGGTCTCACTGTGTAGCCTAAATTGGCTTCACTCAGTCCCGCCTAAGCCTGTGGAATGCTGGAGTCATAGACATGAACCATCAAACATGGCTAAAATAGATGCATAGTGCTCCCTTGAGGTCTGACTTTGACTTTGTTTGTTTGTTTATTTAAGACAGGGTCTTGATCTGTAGCTCAGGCTGCTGAGAACTAACTGTGTAGCCTAGACTGGCCTTGAACTCACCATGATCCTCTGCTTTAGCTTCTAGAGTGCTGGGATGTATTGGCATGCACTACCACACATGATTTCTGACCCCTGTACTTAATGAGACTGTAAGAGAGTTTGAGCCACAGAGAGCTTTCAGACTTGGTGTTTCAAGCCCTCTGTAGGCCTAGCCCTTCAGAGCTAGAGCTAGAGGCTGGTCAGAAAGCTGGCTTAAGGACATCTGGATCCCTGGGTGCAGGAACTGTACTGGAACAGTTTGATGTTCCAGGAGAGTGACCATGTGGACACAGACTTTACAACAACCAAGATTAGTCAAACACAACCAAAGGCTGCTTGCATTGTCTGATTTGATTCAATTTGTACAGTGTTCTGACAACTCTTGTCATTGGCAGGGAGAAGTGTCACTTTTCGTGGATGCATAAAGAGCCCTTAAGAGAAACAGCTGGTCCCAGCTCAGCCACTTCCTAACTGAGCCACATGGACCCTTTCTGGGTTAAATTACAATTAATCTATTCTTTTATGCCTTTTCCACATTTTAGGATGTATAGGACAGACTCAGACAGTGTCATTCAGTCAGATACTAGCCCCAGGTAAGCCCTGAGAGATACTGCAGCAGTGCCTGGGAGGCAAGGTTGAGTTATCCTCTCCCTCCCCTCCTCCCCCTCCCCCTACACACACACAGGTTCATTCATGGTCGCTGATTTGGCTTGTGTGGTCTTGGGATGGAACCCAAGGTTTTGTGAGTGCTAGGCTGGTGCTCTGCCACTCAGCTATACCCCAGCCCAGGGTTCTTTGAGTTTTGTTTTGGAGTAGACGAGACTGGCCTCCACTCACCAAGACCCACCCGCCTCTGCTTCCTAGACTCTAGGATTAAAGGCCTACAGCAGCACACATAGCCAGAGAACCATGTTTAAAGCCAGTGTCTTGATCCACGAAGAAAAAGGAGGTGGCGAGAGCATGAGTCTGTCTGCTGCAGCCTCCTCCTTGCCTGGATCTGGCAATGTTGGATGTTCTGCTGAACCTTGTGTCTCAGTGTCCTGTCATCCAGTGGGGAGGATGGTGCCCAACTCTGAAGAATCAGCTAGAATTCTGTGACTTGGTGTGTGAAAGTTCAGATGTGGCCAGGAGTGGTGACACACATCTTTAATCTCAGCAGTCTGGAGGCAGAGGCAAGTAGATCTCTGAGTACGAGACCAGCCTGGTCTACATAGCCAGTTCCAGGATAGTCAGAACTATGTAGTGAGACCCCTGTCTCAAAAAAAAAAAAAAAAAAAAGGAAAGTAAGTCCAGGTATTGCACTGACTTGTGCCTGTGGTTTTACTGATGCAAAGTTCTTCTTGTGTGTTGGCATGCTTTTACATTGTTTTGTGATTATTTGTATGTGTTTGTTTACCACATGCATGCAGTGTTCTCAGAGGCCAGATGGTCTCAGATACTGTTGGATTCTCTGGAAGTGGCGTTACAGTTTAGTCATCTTGGAGGTTCTAGGAACCAAATCCTGGTCCTCTGGAAGAGCAGCCAGTGCCTTTAACTCCTGGGCCATCTCTCCAGCCCCTTGTTGGCATTCTTAATGAGAGCAGATACTCATTCACAAACACGGAAGGCTAGCCTGCAAGCTAGCAGCCCTGGATGTTCCCTACCCAAGGGGGACAGCTGAACTCAACAAAGTCAGCATGGAAAACAGTGAAAATAAATGCAATTCATGATTATAGAAAAGTCGTACAACCAAACCAGCAGGAGGAAGTCATGGGACAGCCCCAGCAGAAGGAGGAGCATGTCAGACTGCTCGTGTTGCCCTCTAAGCACATGTGTATGTGCCGCTGGGTCTCGGCCCACAGCTGGAGCCCCACATACCTTTGTATTTTTTTGCTTTTCTTTGGGTAGCCAACAGAACCAGTTTGCACTTAACCCACCTTTCCCTTCAGTGTGCTGTCTCCTAGAGAGTGAGGAACTGCCTCTTGTCATTTACAAAGACTGTTCTTTGTTTTTTTCTAGGCTGTTAGAGCAGATCTCTCCAGTAAGAAGCTCAGAGAACTCAAGAGAGTCACTGTCTACCTCTACCACAGAGCACAGCAGAGACCCATTGGGTCATGCTCCAGGGAGGCTGTTATCACAGAATCCGTTGGCACCAGGAAAGCTGTAGGTGAGTGAGTTCAAGGAGGCCTTTTGGACACCATATGGTGACTACAGGTCACTTTTGCTTGTTCCCACCCTGAAGTTCAAGATAGCCACATCATAGTATTCATAAGCAACCATTAGTTCTGGCTCACAGAAGCCTATGAAGAGTTCCCAGCACCAGCTATCTACTTCAGTGAAAAACATTGTGAACAGCCACCCGGAAACACATGAAATCTTCAGAACCTTCCAGGTGTCTTAAGATGTGTCCTGGGGCAACTAAGAACACTCCAGCAAAGTACTGGGATTCTAATTACAGAAACATACTCAACTGCAGCCAGAGATGTCATAGAAGTCCAAGGCAGTCCATTTATTAACACCTCAGCTGCCATGTCCAGTGGGCCTTGTTGTGCAGACAGAGTCTGACAGCACAGCTGCTGCTGAGCCTCACTTAGAACAGAGAGCATTGCCAGAGCCTGACAGCAAGCAAGTGAATGAGAGCTCTGAGCTGTAGTGATATCCGTTCCTTCAGCCTTCTCCCAGCCAAGAGAGAAGGCGGAAGCCACCTCAAGGAGAGTCAGAAGTAGCTCTGGGCTGGGTCCAGGACTCTTCTACTTGAGGAGGCCAGTGGGTTAGACTTGACTAGCTGCCTCCTTCTGTTTCTGGAAGTCTAGCTCCAGAGCACATGTGGGCTCCTTTCCTCCTGACCTTGGATCTGTCATCAAGACAATGATTTCCTGTGCCAATGAATTGGGACATTAGGATGCCCTGAAAAGGAAGGCAGAACTGGGGCCCTAGGAAGAAAGGCTCTGTACCCTGACTCAAGGGACAGATGCTCTATGGCTTCTAGGGAAGACTCAGGGGAGTGGGGTCACCTCTGGTGGGAACCCCAAGTACAGTGCAGACAAGGAGACTGGTCTATGCGCCACATTTACCTTCAGGCCAAGCGATGGGGCCCACCTTCAGCCTGCACTTTCCAGTGCCTAGTGCCCGTGGAGTTGGATGTTTGCTTTCTCCTGGGTCCTTCTCAAGGAAGACAAGTGGATTGACCTCCTGACTCAAATCCTGTAGGACTAATGCTTTCATGTGACAGCTCCCAGAAAACACCTAGGTGAGGCTGTTTCCCTGCATCCAGGCCTGCAGTCGTTGGCTTTGGACCTGCAGAGGGTTCCTGGCACCTGCATACTGGTAGCACCCAGTTGGCCTGTCCACATCTCACCTCAGCCACATCATGATCTGGTGGAACCTCTTTCTTGTATCTGGCTGGTGCAGACACCCATGTGTCCTAATGCCTCACTGCAGTGAGCGGTGCATTCCTCTTAAACAGCTGCAGCTATGGCCTGTTGTGTTGTAGCAGATGCTGTCCCTGGTCTGGTATTGCTGTTTGACACTTGTTAATGCTTACACCCATGTAATACCCTTGGTGCTGTGTCAGTGTTGTGCACATTGGACCAAACATTCTGCTTCGTTGTGCACTTGGTGGCTTCCTTCATATGTGACTCCTCTGCTCCATGGACAGTGGCACTGATGCTCCACGTTGCCTTCCAGTTGCCACCATTGTTCTGTGAGCAGGCGCTGTTGGTGCTGCTCCTGGACATCTATTTTCTCATAAAAGTAAATGTGTTTCCAACTTGCTTACTGTGCTCTGTTGGGTTCCCTACAGTGTGGACAAATGTCCTCAAGGAAACCACCAGCTTTCTCCACTGGAGACAGCTGCAAGACCAGTGTCCCAGGTAGTCACTGCTTCTTGGGAGTGCCTAGGATACTTCCAGTGACCAAGCTCATGAGAGTATAACGTGTAATTCAGAAAAGTCACCACTGCTACACCATGGGTAAGGGTAGAGGCTATACAAAAGCAAGACATCGTCCTGCTTTTCTGACCCCAGATCATGGGATGCCAGGTTACAGTTTAGTTAGTTATTCAGTACCTGTATTGAGGACCTGAAGGAAACCTGGGAGGTATCCATTCTTTCTTCATTTAAGGCAGTTGTTCTCAACAAGGGGTGATCCTGTAAGGGACACTTAACAGTGCCTGGAGACAGTTTTCTTTGGAGGATCTTGTGAGAAGAGGCAAGGATTTATCTAAACCTCACAATACACAGGTCAACCCCAGCACAGCAGCAGGAGCACTGGTGCCATGCTACCATGCACCAGTAATGGAAGCCAGGGGCTGAGTTAGGCTTGCGGGCAGCAGAAGTACTAGAGGAACCCCTCTCTTTCCTGGCCCATTGTCTCACAGCCTCGAGACTAACCTTAAAGTGAAGGAAAAGGGTCATTTGAGCTTGAAGGTCCTAGAGTAGCTGGGATAAAAATAGTGAGTCCCTCATCTCAAAAATGGGGTGCAAGGGGTAGAGCTGGAGGTGTAACTGAGTGAAACATACCCTTGGTACCCTTGAGACCCTTTGTTCCAGGTGGCATCCACAGAGTTGTCAAAAAAAAGGTGGGGGGCGTCTGGAGAGATGGCTCTGATTAAAAGCACCAGTTGCTCTTCCAGAGGACACATGTTTGAGCCTCAGCACCCACCTGACAGCTCACAACCATCTGTAACCCCAGTTCCAGGGCATCTGTCTCCTTTTCCTGCTCTCTACAAGCCCAGGCATGTAAGTAGTACACAGACATATAAATAGGCAAAAGGTGAAAAGTAGATCCCCCCCATTGAGAGGTGTCAGTGTGTCCGGGACAGTTGGAATGACATCCACGATCTGGAGAGAGATGCTAGTTAGGGCTGTTCTGTCTGTCCCTTGCTCATCCTGTTCCAGGCTTCCCTTGCTTCCCACATCCCACCCTGCCTGCTCTGGTCCAAATTACTGCTAGCACTTCCCACACCTAAGACCTCTGCACACACATTTCTTTTGAATATTACCTCCCTCTCACCTGTCTCCTTTGCTAGCACCTCCTTAGGTTAGCTTGGATATCAAGTCTCCACTCTCCAGGCTTCCACCAGAGAAGACTACTGGGCTTGAGTATAAGCCAATAGAAAGTCTTCATTAGCCAGCCAGCAAGTATACTATGTGTTTAAGATCCCATTGTAGCCTCAAGGCTTTCTCAGGGTGAGCTGTTAAGCACAGAAACCATATCTTGGATTGACATACCTCAGTTAATAAGAACAGTTAGCCAGAAGCAGAACTACTGAAGTCGAAAAGCAAGGTTAGTATGTTTAGAGACTTTCTCAGAACTATGGACTTTGCTGAACTAGGTCTTTGAGGGTTTGTTGTGATTTTTTTTTGGGAGGGGGGGTGTTTGTTTGTTTTGTTTTGTCCAGTGGTGATGTCTATGTGCTGTGTTTGACAACATGAATGGTACTTTCATTATGAAGTCAATATAGATAGTGCTAAGGACCATTAATTTTACCAAATTGTTACATAATTGGCCATATAGTTTAAGATGCAGGGCCCCAGTGCTGATGTGTGAGGCTTTCTCCTTTTTATGCTAGGTATCCATCTTGGTACTCAATAGCCATTCTAACTCCAGTCCCTGGAATATAAGTTCCCAATTATCCTGACTCACTCCCACCCAGAAATGTACAGCCATGACCATCTATCTACTTGTTATGACTTTTTTGGCTACTGTACCCCTCTTATGCAGACATTCAGGCCTATTTTGAGGTTAACCTTGATTACCTAACTTTGGCAGAGCAGCACAGCTCCTGGCTTGCTTGTGCAGACACTCGATGTGGGTTTTGCCATTACAAATCCTTCCCTTCACACAGTATTCTCTAGTTTGGCTCAGAGACTGGTGTCCTTCTAGTAGTTTCAATAAATTTATTACTAATTATAATCCAGATTGAGTCTGTGGTCTTTTCCTGGGGTGTCTTGAGCTCCCTAGCATTTAGGGGCTCATCCAGGATCCCTGGGAGATCCCAGATCCAAGGTCAGGGATCTTGAGATAGTCCCTAAGTGGAAACAAGTCCAAGGTGAACTTGAAGGCCCAGGGGAACCCCAGACTGTGATGACCACAAATTTGTAAATGCCCAGCACTTGTGAAACAGGCAAGTGGCTCTCTGAATTCCAGCCCAGTCTGTCTACAGAGGAGGTTCCAGGGTATCCATGGCACACAGAAAAGCCCTCTCTCAGGGTTGGGGTTGGGGGATAAAATTTACAGCCAATGCACATTTGAAACCCAGACCAGTTGGTGAGTTGTTCTGTTCTGGAAGTCCTGACATCTAGGGAGACAGGGGAGATTGGACGAGATCATAGGCTATTTCCAGGGACAAAGCAAGAGACCTCCTCCTGTTCCCCTGGTTCTGCTGTATGGGTGAAGGTGGCCACCACGTGTCTGTCTGTCTGGTCTCCTCTGACTGTGTGGACATTCTGTCTTTTTAAGTTGTTTGCTTTTGTCTGATGGATTTGTTTACTAATGTGCTTATAAGTTTTGTTTTAGACATGGGAGCCAGACCACCACCACTGGCTTACTCTGTCTCTGTCCCTCTCAATGGCTCGGTGAGCCTGCAGTTTTAAGTCTCATGGGTTTCTCACAGATGGTTATCTCTGAGCTTTCTTTATTCTCTGCTTGCTCTCATCACTGGAGTCAGTTTTGTGGAGATTCAGTTGTCTTTGGGATATAGATAACACTGAAGTACTACTTTATGCTGTCCTACTGTATTAAAGAACCTGACTCTGGGGTTGTGTTATGCCCAGCTTGCCTGACCCAAGCATGCTTGTTTAAAAGTTTTCTTCAGAATCTCTGTCTTGGGTCAGACAGGCCTCCTGCCTCTGTCAGCAAAAGGAAAAACCAAACAGCCCAGGAAAGACACCAGGTGCTTTAAAACAGCTAAAAAGTAAACTGTCCAACAGAGTTACAGCTGCTTACCTCTTCTCCTTTCCTTGGTTTTACTTAGCTCTCTCAGACTTTTGTTAAAATACAAACTTATCTCAAGACTTGTAAGACTATTATATAGACTTTCTGTGCCTTAAGATTTGTAAGTTTACTGGATATGGTTAAAAATCTGTAAACACAAAAGCAACCTGATGCTAACACTTTCTGAGTTCCCACTAGTGTCTTGTTTGTATAGTTTTCTGTTTAATGGCCTCTAGGTTACAGATACTTACATTACTCTGCAACTTGATGACCTTATAAGGAAAAAAATACCTATGAAGCTTTTCAGGTTGCCTGCCTCCATCTGCAGACACACAAGCTGGTTATGAAGTAAATGAAACCCAGTGTTTAAAATCTCTCACCTTTAATCCCAGCACTTGGGAGGCAGAGACAGGTGGATCTCTGAGCTTGAGGCCAGCCTGGCCTACAGAGTGAGTTCCAGGACAGCCAGGGCTACACAGAGAGACTGTGTTTTGAAAAACCAAAAAATAAATAAAAATAAAATATCTCACTAATAACTCCAGATATGCCTGCTTAAAATAATCAGAGCTGAGTTTGTTGAAAGTTAATGTTCCTTCCAAAACAAGGAGCTAGACAAGGTCATTAGACCTTCACGCCAGTATCCAGTCACTTCTCCCAGCTAGTTGTATGCAATTAGGACCTAACTGCACAAGGCCTCAAGGTTTTCTGGAAAAACTCGGGTGTGCAGGCTAAAACTGGGTAAAGGCTGCACCCAGTTGTCTAACATCCCTTAGGAGAAACTTCTTACAACAAATGATATTTTATTTGTTACTGTTATGTCTCCCTTAAAATTTTTAATTAAAAATTTTTAATCGAAAAAGATTTATATACAAACTAAAATGGTCAAATGTAATTACAGATATTTAGCTCCGATTTCTCCCCCTGTTTTGGTTCTTGTTAGGAAAAAACAAATGTTCCCCACATCATGGTCATAGATATTCAGAGTTCTTGATAAAATGTAAACTTTGTTTCTCTCAGGATCTGAAGGACTATTGGGGCGGGGGGAGATGACGTGATTGGGGTGCTGTAAAATTCCAAGCAAAAAATTTTGTAACGATCAAGATTTACAAATTCCTAGTGTTATAAAAGTCTACTCAGGTTAACAGAAACTGACTTTAAAACATATACCTAACCACTTATGTCTTCCTTGACTGTGTTCAATACTGATTTTAAAATAACATGTTTGGTAACTAAGATATATCTGATAATAAGGTTTATTAATTCCTTAGGACTATTCAGACTAGCAGAAACTGACTTAAAGATGTAGGTCTAGCCTTTTCTGTCTTTCTTGACTTTGTTAAACATTAGCTATTTGGATGAATTGAGTCATAATAAAAACTTTGATATAAAAAGATTAAAAAAAAAGTAAGACTCCCAATCTCTCTGTGGTATTTATGGTTTAATGTTTTATTTAACTGCTAGAGGATTTTCAATTAAATCTTCGATTCAAATTTTAAAGGATAAAACTAACCAGAGATAAAAATATAAAATCCTAATCTTGTAAAAACTACTGAATTGTAAACCACGAAAGATAATTAAGACATGCACGTTAATGGTTAACCACCTTCTAAATGATCAAATTCTTTAATGGGCTCAGAACTGTTTATAATCATGCTAAGTACATTTAGAGAGTGACAAGTTTTAGCCTTCTGTATATGATCACAAATTTAAGCCCAAAGCAAAGAACTAAAACCAGTAATGGTGAGAGAGTTCTGCCAACTGCTGGTCTCTCTGCTGAGAAAACAGTGTGAGGGGTCTTCTAAATACAATCACAGTGAGATTTGATCACACTGT